GAGGGTGGGTATGGGGGAAGAACTGCTATAATCCAAAAGTTGTACTTCTGAAATTTATATTTTATTAAATAAAAGTTTTTTATTAAAAATAAAGAAATTAGCACTCCTATCATTTACAGCGTTTCTGATGAAAATGAACAGGTGTCTAATATCACAAAATGCAAGCCTGGGGTAAGCATTTGATTCAGGGCTTAAGATGCACTTGGGATGCCCTCATGCCACACGGGCGAGCCGGGCTGGAGTCCCGCCTCTGTTCCCATCCAGCCTCCAGCTACGTGCCCCTGGGAGGCAGCAGCTGATGGCTCAAGTACCTGTGGCCCCTGCCCCAGTGGGGAGGCCTGGGAGTGAGTTCCAGAATCCCTCCTAGCTTTGGCCTTGCCCAGTCCAAATCAGTGGATGGAAGATCTCTCCCTCTTTCTCTCCCCGCCCCCACCCTTTTAAAATAATATGAAAGTGAATAAGCGTTTTAAAACAAAGTCTTTCTTAGAAAATGTACATTTGATTTTTCTATACTGAGTCCTTTTGCTTCTGCAAAAATGAATTTACTGCTCACCTGAGCCCAGAGGGTGGCGGTGGTGGAGGGCGGTTACTGCGCAGGTGAGCTGTCGGCCGACTTCCTCACCGGCGCACACGGGTAGCTCGTGCTGGTATGTTGGCTGAGTGGCTCAGCGATTCCTCTCCTCACTCATCTTTCCGAAGACGGTGGTGAAGAATCAGTTGCTTATGAAAAAGAAGGAACCGAACCCCAGCATGGAAATGGCCGTCTTCAGTCAGAAACAAAGAACAAGCGCCAAGTTTGCATTCTCAGTGAAGGGGTCTTCAAGAGCTGCTGATAACCATGCCGGGGAGGGGACCGGGTGAGGGAGGAGGGAAAACCGTGATAAGGGCTGGGATTCACTCTTGTTGAAGGCTTACAGCGAACCCAGCTCCATGTTCAGGCTCTTAGTACAGTATTTCAGTTAATTGCCTCATTAATCTTATTAAGGTTTAATTATCTACCCCACTTAATCATCTCAGTAACATCCCTTCTAACAGTCTTATTGCGATACGATTCACATACTCTGAGATTCAGTCCTTGTGCAGTTCAGTAACCGTGAGGACAGCACAGAGCTGTGCACCGTGTCTGAGGAGCAGATTCCGGCGCCCGACACCTGTTATCAGGAGCAGAAGCCGAGCACTCGAGCCCTGCATCCTGGTCCTGTAGTCATCGAGGAAAACGCAATGCACGGGGCACGAGCTGCACAGGCTTGGCTCAGACGGAGATCAGCTTCCGTGGCGGGTGCTGGTCCCTGTAGCCCTGGGGTGGCTCCCAGAAGCCCATGCAGGGTAACTGCCCTGCTCACACCCCACTGTGCCACCACGGCACACAGACCCCGACGCTGCTTGTAAGGGACAGACAGAGTAGGGGGCTTGAGCAGGTGACAGATGTCAGCTATTAGGGAGAATGGAAGTGCACACTGAGTCCAAAGCAGAAAATCTATCCTCACGCCAGGTGCTAAGCCCAGGCTTTGGTGTTACTCCCGGGAGCACCGGCTAACACGAGGCAGGAAGCTTTGCAGGGCAATCCTTGGTCCACTGCACTTGGATTCAGTGTTTCACGGGTATTGCGTTTCTACAGATTGAAGATCTGTGGCAACACTGCACCTAGCAAATCTATCAATGTCATTCTTCCAGCAGTTCAGGGGGTCGTCTGCATTTATTAGCAATAAAGAATCTTTAAATTAAGGTGTGTACATTTTTCGACATATGGCTATTGCACACTTGGTAGATGACTGAATGGTGTCACTGTAACTTTTATACGCACCGGGAAACCAAACAAAGAAAAAGTGTGACTTGCTTTATGGCTACATTCAGTTTGTTACAGTGGCCGGCGCCTGAGCCTGCTGTGTCTCCCAGGTGTCCTGTGTCTAAGTCTCCACCAAGGGTCTGAGAGTTTTAACTACAACCTGGATGCCCTGGGCTCGCTTTGAGCTCATTTCTGCACATGGCAGGAGGAAAGACTCCACTCCTTTCTTTAGGTGAATATTTGTTTTCTGGGGCCGGGGCAGAAAGACTGGCTTCCCTGCTGAAGGGGCTCAAGGTCTTTGTCCAAAGTCAACCGGCCAGAGACGTGAGGGGTTGTTCCTGCATTTCCCCTGCCTCTCCACTGAGCTGTGCGTTGGCCCTGTGTCAGCACCACACCTGCTTTTCCACTAAGGCTGTGCACTAAGTATTCGACTTGAGAGAGGTGAGGTCTCCTTTGTTCCTTTTCAAGATTGTGCGGCTTGTTCTTGGTCTCTTGAATCTCCACACTAATTCTGCAATCAGCTTGCAATTTTCTAAGTGCAGTCCACGGAGATCTTGAGAGAGATCGTGTTTAATCTTCAGATCAATTGGAGGGGACTGGCATCTTAATTGCTTTAAGCCTTTTAGCCCGGGAACAGGGAGTCTCTTTCTATTTTTAGGTCTTTAATTTCCCTCAACAACAATGTTAGTTTTCAGAGTGAAGTTCAGACTTCTCTTGAACATGTACTTGTATGGACTATTTTTATTACCATTACAAATATGATTTGTTATTAACTTTATTCTCAGTTTGCTCAGGACCACTGACTGAAAATACAACCAGCTTATTTATTGTAACTGTGCCTGAAAGTTTCCTGATCTCAGGGCCATTTCCAGCATTTTTAACGTGGATTCCTTGGGATTTCTGAGCACAAGACGACGCTGTGTCTGTATAAACCCGGCTTCACAGTCTCCTTTCCATTCTTGGCGTCTTTTGTCTCTTTTCCTTACTAACTGCTCCAGCCAAAAAAAGTAATTACTTTCAACACTGTTTTGTCGTTTTCAGAGGACAAATTCTGAACTCGTGCCAATTTTTCTTAAGTATTTTAGTGCTTTTCATGTGGTCACAATGGAATTTTTACTTAAATTAATTTTCACATTATTCACTCCACGTGTGTGGAAACTTCAGCCTTTTGTCCATCCAGCTCACCTCCCAACGTGCTCCATAACGGAGTCACTCGGCTACTTCCACAGCTTTTAAACTGGCTTCCTCAGCATCTCCTAGCGCAAGGCACGTCATCTGCCAAGCGCATGGCCTGTCCCACCTGATCACGCGTGTGTGAGAACACACGTGCACAGCTATGCCGCGGGCGCCTGGCGTGCCTGCGCGTTCCCCCGAAGGAAGTGACTGCGGACCCCCTGAGCTGACAGCTGCCCTGGGAGGCCCACAACCAGCTGCAGAGTCCAGAACAAGCCGGCCGCGGCCGGCGGCCCGAGAGCTTTCCAGGCAGCGCAAGCTCCCTGGGGCTCTTAATGAGCTCCGACTTTTTATCGTGAGAAAGTACTGAGTGTTGCCTTTGTCCTGGGTTTGCTGGGGCGATCCAATGGGTTCTGACCCGATTCCACTGAGGCAGTGACTGGCATTGCTCGACTGTGCGGCCTCCGGGCGACTTTGATGCCCTGTGTTAATGCCCCGTGGGGCTGGCGCGTGGCCCTTCCCGTGCGTGGCTGCCCGAGTTCACTCAGGAGGGCTTGCTGGGAGCGTGTGCGTGGCCTGGCCTGCACCTGGCTTTCCCCAAGAGGGCTGTGCGTGGTCCTGGTATCAGAACACCAGCTCCGCGCCTCGGGGCGGGAAGCCCCCTTGTCCTAGCGGCTGGGACGGTGTGGTGGAGATGCAGCGGCCATTCTCCTGACGAGGTTGGAGTTTGCTGGAGTCCGCGGTGACGCTGTGCAGGCCTGAGCCTTCTTTGTTTAAGATGCAGTCTGAGCATAGCTGTTGGCCTATTTGCTGTGCTTAGCAAACTGCCATCCTCTTCCACGGCCTGTCTCACCCTCTCCCCTGCGCCCCGCTGAGCCGCCGGCCTCGCTGGCATCGCCCGGCGTTTTCCGGTGGAGAGGAGTGCACGCTCGTCCGGAAGGCCCCTGAGCTGGCTGGCACAGCGCCGTGAGCACGCGGCCGGGCTCCCGAGTCTCCCAGCCCTGCAGCGTGCTGCCCACAGCGCAGCCCCCGGGGGCCAGGCAGTCTGAGCCCCGCTTTCTGTTCTTCCACCCTTTGAACAGTTTTCTAAGCAATGGAATCTTGTAGAGGTCGGCATCATGTCCCAGCTCACTGCAAACAGAACCAAGCAGAACTGCCGGACAAATGCCGCAGATCTTCAAGTGGCAGAGCTCGGGATTGTGCTTAGTTCTTGGGGCGCAGTCGGAGGGGACAGCCTTGTGGGAAACGGGTGGCAGGACCCTGGGCTCCAGGCTGAAAGCAGGACCCTGGCGCCGTCCAGGTGCAGCGACGCACGTACCGGAACCAACCGGCTGCCTCCCAGGGGTGCACATGAGGATCTCAGGAAGCTGCCGTCCAGAGCAGACGGGATTCCCCTCCCCGCCCCCCAGACACCGCAGCCCTCTGCTGCCTTCCCGGGCACGGTAGCAGGGAGCTGGATCGGAAGAGGAGCAGCGAGGATTCAACCAGATCCCACGTGAGATGCCCGGGACTGGAATGTGCATGGTTTGCTGGTGGAGGAATCGGCGCAGAGGCCGCAGCAGCCCCGTTCTCCCAGGCAGCAGTGCCTCTGCCTGGATCTGACACGGGCGGGGTCTTCCGCCAAACACGGTTTCCAGGGCTGGGTCTGGCACAGCCGGTTAAGCTGCACATGCCACTCCGGCATCTCACGTGGGATCTGGTTGAATCCTGGCTGCTCCTCTTCCGATCCAGCTCCCTGCTACCGTGCCCGGGAAGGCAGCAGAGGGCTGCAGTGTCTGGGGGGCGGGGAGGGAAATCCCGTCTGCTCTGGACGGCAGCTTCCTGGGATCCTCATGTGCACCCCTGGGAGGCAGCCGGTTGGTTTGAGTGCGGGCGTCGCTGCACCCGGACGGCGCCAGGTCGTGCTTTCGGCCTGGAGCCCCCCTCCCTCTGGGGGCGTTTGAGGAGAGAACCCACAGAGGGGAGCTCTGTGTGCCTGCCGCTCTCTTTCTCTCTACCTTTCAAATAAGTAAAATCAATAAATTAAATTTGCAGAATGAACTCTGAAAGAGAAAAGAGGCAGCTGACTTTTCACCCTAACAGACGACCGGGGGTGACTATGCGTCTATTTAATGGGCAGCTGTCTATCACTTCTGTGACCTAACACTTTTGCATTATCTCGCGGCTGGAAAAAGATGAACATTTAAGCAAGAATATACAGAACTTCTAATGATGATTAATCATTTTATCCATTTTTTTTGGAAAATATGACACGAAGGCTTTGCTTCTTAAGAGTAGCATTTGATTTTTTGTAAAATTTTTCAAGGGTCAAAGACAGATGTTTTCCTCCTGCACACATTAGCCCATGAAATCAGAGCAGAGAGCGTTGACTTGCAATCTAGAGCCGCGTGGGAGTGGTCAGTTTCTGAGCCTTACTTGCTGCCCGGCCGGATTCCACTCCGTGCGCTGGACAGTGCAGCATGGGCCTCGCGCTGCCTCCTGTGCCCGCTGCGCAGAGAAACCCGCCCTTCCACCGCCGCACAGAGGAACAGGCTGTTCTTCCAAGGACTCCCGGGAGTCCCCGCACGGGGATGGGGAGCAGTGGCCACCAGCCGGGCACGCGCTCCCCGTGCCCTTGTCCTCTTATCTGAAGACGCTTGTGCGTGGGCCTTTGGCCGTGGTGAGGGTGCGGGCGAGGCACCAGCACCCTGCGTGCAGGCGCCTGGAGTCCCAGGTCCACTCCCGGCTCCAGCTGCCTGCTGACCTGCACCCCGGGGCCAGCAGGTGACGCTCTGGTCGCTGGGTCACTGCTGTCCTCGTGGGAGACCTGGATGAGTTCCCAGCCCTTGGCTTCCGTGCAGCCCAGACTCACTGTTGCAGGCTCTCGGGAGTGAACTGGTAGATGGGGACTCTGTCTGTCTGCCTATCTCCCAAGTAAATAAACACAAGCCTTATAAAATACCTCCTGTATTGCTGACAGCGGAACAGGAGGGGCTCATCAAAGCTTTCTCTCCCCTCTCGTCTGCTCCGTGCAGTCCAGAGCCAGCAGCGGAAACCTTTTGGTTTATTTCATCTGAGAGACAGAGGCAGACAGAGGGCGTCCACGGCCCAGAGGCCCACAGCACCAGGCAGGAATTCAAGCCGGGTCTTGCACGTGGGCTCCAGAAAGCCGGTCCTGGAGCTGCCGCTGCTGCCCGCGGGGTCAGCACTGGCAGACGTGGGCGTCAGACCTCAGTCACTCTGATGTGGGACACAGGGGTCTCCACCAGTGTCTTAACCACGAGGCCGAATGTCCACCCCGCAGAGAAACGTCATCACCATTGGTTTTGGAATCGGTCTCTCGTTGCCACCTTTCTCATCCAGTTTCACCCATAAAGTAGACTCTTTGCTGCAGGTTGCTTCTGTAGCACCAGCCATTGCATCAGCATCCCTAGGAATGAGCAAACAATGAAAGGGAAAGTACAGCTGGGTCAGTGTCCTCTAAAGAAACTCTCCCAGAAGTTCTACTCCGCAGCTTCCACTTACATCTCATTGCACAGAGTCCGTCTGTAAGGAGGACCGTGACCAGCAATGTTTATCTTCCTCCAGGCTCAGGACTGGCTCTGGCACACGTGGTGATGCGTGGTGTCCAAGCAATACCCTCGGGAAGACGAAATGGTAAACTGAGGCTGGAAGGGCTCCTGGCTCCAGGGTCAAGGCCTCACACGCGGTATCTAAGGCCACTGGCAGATCCCACAGTGTGCTAAGCGCCCTCTTCTGCAAGTCAGTGCCCACAGAGTGACGCTCAGGCCGCTGTGACTCCTGGGTCCCAGAACGCAAACCTCATTAGCCCAGGTAATGCCACAGTGGCACTGTTTGCAACCCAGGGCTCTGCAGGCCTGCGCCGTGGCTCACTAGGCTAATCCTCCGCCTGCGGTGCCGGCAACCCGGGTTCTAGTCCCAGTCGGGGCAACGGATTCTGTCCCGGTTGCTCCTCTTCCAGTCTAGCTCTCTGCTGTGGCCCGGGAAGGCAGTGGAGGATGGCCCAGGTCCTTGGGTCCCTGCCACCCGCATGGGAGACCAGGAGAAGCACCTGGCTCCTGGCCTCGGATCAATGCGCAGTGCGCCGGCTGCAGCGGCCATTGTGGGGTGAACCAATGGAAAAGGAAGACCTTTCTCTCTGTCTCTCCCTCTCACTGTCCACTCTGCCTGTCAAAAAATAAATAAATAAAAAGAAAGAAACCCAGGGCTCTGCAGGGTCATGGGCTGACAGGAGCTTGGAAAACAGAGGTGGTTTCTGTCCATCTGTCCATGAACATTTAAGCAAGAACATCATCTAATGATGATTAATCGTTTTTATCCATAATCTTTTTGAAAAATGTAGGGTATGGGTACTGATAGCTGATTTGCCTAAAAAGGAAAACCAGGGAAAACAGCAGCCACAGTCACAAAACCCTTCTGCATCAAAGAAAATGCAGTTTACTTCAAACGCAAAACAAATCAACAAAGAAAAAAAAAATGGGGACTTTCTGTGCTCATTGATTGATCTATGCTCAGTGTGATTCAGTCTTTTCCCAAAGACTCAGCGCGTCTCCCTCCCTGTGCCCGTCCTGGGGCTGATGAGTAATAGTGGTTTTCTTGAGTTCAAAAAGCAGTAAATAGCTTTATTGTAGTTCTTGGAAAAGTCAAGGAATTTGCAAGTCAAGCTTGATTCTCCTTCTTTCTTTCTGTTGCTAATGTGTTTCCTGGATCTGGCTTAGCTTCCAAGGGAGCACGGGAGGTTAGGTGGGTACACTGGAGGCCTTGGACTTGGTGGATTTGTTTAATTTGATGAGGGCAATGCCTGCACATCAGCGAGGGAACGTGGCTAAATTCTCCAACTGTTAGGTGAAAAGCTGCACACAGAGTTGTGTCCCTTAACCACTCCCTGCTCAGTTCCTTCATTGGTCATCTGCAGATGAACGCCTACCTGCCCAGAGAAGGTTGAAAGACTTCAAGGCCGGCGCCGCGGCTCACTAGGCTAATCCTCCGCCTAGCGGCGCCGGCACACCGGGTTCTAGTCCCGGTCGGGCGCCGGATTCTGTCCCGGTTGCCCCTCTTCCAGGCCAGCCCTCTGCTGTGGCCCGGGAGTGCAGTGGAGGATGACCCAGGTGCTTGGGCCCTGCATCCCATGGAAGACCAGGAAAAGCACCTGGCTCCTGGCTCCTGCCATCGGATCAGCGCGGTGCGCCGGCCGCATCGCGCTGGCCGCGGCGGCCATTGGAGGGTGAACCAACGGCAAAGGAAGACCTTTCTCTCTGTCTCTCTCTCTCTCTCACTGTCCACTCTGCCTGTCAAAAAAAAAAAAAAAAAAAAAAAAAAAAAAAGACTTCAAGACAACTTCACGTTTCTGCAGCGACCTAAAGTATGGAGCGTTGTGGAAATTCTAAGGAGATGACCAATCCCAGGCACGGTGACAAGGAGAGGATCCAAACCCAAAAGGTCTGAGTCACTGTCGCAGACGATCTGTGGTCCAGTCCCTTGCGGAGTAGGAGAGGCCGGGCTGGGGGTGGCCCCCTCCATGGTGCCGGCACCCCAGGTGCACAACTGCCAGCGACTGACCGTCCTCTCCAGGAGGCCTGGTCCGATGCTCCCACCCCGCTCCCAGCCCCGCCCTGCCCCCTCCTTAGCTCCCAGGACTGTGGGGCCTGGGCTGCCTCCCACACTGGATCTGCTCCTGCTCAGCCCGTGGAGGCAGCACCGGGTTTAGGAGCAAAGCAGCCAGGAGTATTTTGTTCCGCCTGTGTCCTCCCCGCCAGGCCACGGTTTGGTGCTTCCTGCCTCCCCCTGCAAGGCTGCGGCTTCTGCTGGCCCTGGGAGCTCTGCCCTGCCATGTCCCTCCCCCGTCCTGCAGGCTCCGGCTTCCGGTTCCTGAGTGGCTCACAGCCCATCCAGGACACCCGCTGCTGTGTTCCGGGAGGAGCCAGGGCTCTGGCGGGTGCCTGTGGCTTGCTTCAGGGTGTGCTGCTGGGAGCGCCGGGCACTGTGGCTGCCGTGCCCTGTGCGCAGCGGCTAGGGAGCCTGGAGTCACCCAGCACGGCAGCGTAGCTGGGATCTGACCTGAAGCCCTGTGGCTCTGAAAAGCAGCGTCGTGCTGCTCCCAAAATCTGAACCGAGGGCTGCCCAGGCCAGGGACTTTCCCAATCGCAGCAGCAGGGGTAGAATTGATTATGCGATTTACTATTCATTAGTCGCCATTCACTCTGAAAAGCGCTTATTCGAAGTCATTAGATGAATTCTCCAATCACCCAGAGAGACTTTCAATTAATCCAATAGAAAAGCCTTTTTGTGCCACAGTTAATTTGGGCTTGTTAATGTATAATTAGCCTGCAATGTCGAACTTTCTTCTATTGCCACAATGCAAAACCGGGCAGAAGCAGGACTGAGTTACACATAATCAAAGGCAATTGCAGAAGCCTCTTTTCAAATTAATGGGGATAATAAAAGATTTCACAGCCACTTCTACGCCTAAGCCTGTGCATAATTCAGATTAAAGGCAGCAGGCACAGGCAGGTCGCAGTGGTGCCTGAACCAGCGCCGGCCAGCTCGCAAGGCTGATTAGCGAGAGCTCTGTGAGCCTGCCCTGCGCACAGCCACTGCTCAGTATTGCAAACCCAGCACCGTTCCACTCCTGCGATTATTTCAAAAGCCGAGCAGAGGGCGCCTGCATGGAACTGAGGTGGCAGGGGCGGCAGCTACCAAACACGAACCACACGAGGGTGGAGAGCAGCTCTGCAGGAGACCACCGACCACTTCTAACCCACGCGATGCTGTGGAAAGAGACTGAGACCCGGTCCCAGAGGTCGGATCACGGCTGAACGGAAACCGCATTTGTCTAGACAGACACCAGTTGGGCCAAATCCACAGAGACGTCACCGAGTACCAGTTTCCTATGCGGAACTTATAATGAATAATATTGTCTTTTTACAGTAATGGGAAGTAGCTGACATACGCCATTTGTGTCAGTACAAGTATAATAAACACTTGCAACTACCTCTCACAAGCGTTCTCACACGTCTTCTGTTGTTGGACATTGGCCTGGGCCAACACCACACCTCCTGGTGTACGTGTGCATCCTGGGGGTGCACCCAGTGTCGTCGGTGCTCTGCACGCAGCACCATGGAGTCCACGGCAGCGCGGAAGACACTTGGCTCACAGTCACGGGAACAGTCTCCCATAGCCAGCTTGGAGCTTTTCTTTACAAATGTGGAATGATTGTCATTCTGTATCATAAAGCATAATTGGTTAAAATGGTTTGATTGGATCTCATCCACTTAAGTTTTTTTTAAGATTATTTATTTATTTATTATTTGAAAGGTAGAGTTATAGAGAGGCAGAGAGAGAGAGAGAGAGAGAGAGAGATCTTCCATCTGCTGGTTCACTTCCCAGTTGGCCAGGTTGGCTAGAGCTGGGCTGATCCAAAGCCCGAAGCATGGAACTTCTTCCAGGTCTCCCCATGGGTGCAAGGAAACCCCACGGGGCTCCCCTATCGCCCAAGGACTTGGGCCATCTTCCACTGCTTTCCCAGGCCATAGCAGAGAGCTGGATCAGAAATGGAGCAGCCGGGACTCAAACCGGCGCCCATATGGGATCCCAGCACTGCAGGCGGCAGCTTTATCCACTATACCACAGTGCTGGTCCCAACCCCTTGGCTTTAATAGTAACCATGCCATCTTAAGACATTCCTAAATGCTAAGAACTCTTAATATTTGACCAGTATTAACCATTTAGTTCTTGTAACTGTTCTTTTTTATAATTTTCATTTATTTGTTTGAAAGACAGAGACCGGCACGGAGAGCGCCCATCCGCGTGCTCGCTGTCCAAATGCCTGCACTGTGTTTGGAGGAGGTGGGTGGCAGGGGCCCAGGCACTTGAGCTGTCAGCTGCTCCTCCCGGGGTGTGCATGAGCAGTGAGCTGGGACTGGGGGTGGAGCTGCCACCAGAATGTCCCCCCCCCCGCACCGGTGTGGGGGGTGAGTGCCTGGAGCAGCCGCCCCCCCCATTGTGGGGGGTGAGTGCCTGGAGCAGCCGCCCCTGCAGCTCTTCTCCCGAGGTAGCTGCTCTGATGACTTCTGGTTTATAGCCAGGAGACGGAGCCCTGGGCGGAATCCACCGACAATACGTCAGTGCAGCTTCACCGGGATGAAGCCACAGCCTCAGTTAGGACCCCGTGTGCTGTCTCACCTGCATTCCCTCCCTAACCAATGAGTCCTGTGTCTGGGGTGACAGTCCCCAGTTCACCAGCTCCACAGCCAACAGTGCTGGGCTGGGCTGGGCCTGCAACCCAGCGCTTTCTCGATGCTGTCAGCCCACCGCGGTGACAGGCGGTCTTCAGCACCCGGGGAGAAATGGAGTGGAAAAACCCACTGCTTCCCTGGCCTCTGCGACCCTCAGCGCAGAATCCAGAGTCAACAGCTCAGCTTCCCGGACCCGAAATCCACCAGCCGGTCTTCCGAGAGCTCCTGTCCCTTGCCTTCTTCCCCCCCACCCCTCCCCAGTACCTTGTTTCTAGAAGGAAGTCGGGAGGTGAGCACAGAGTTTCTCGAGGGTTTAGGAGATCCTTGAGTGTGGTTTTTGCTGCCTGCTCTGAGCCTGTGGACAAGCGGGAGCTGCCAGAGCCCCAGGCTCCAGCCGCGGATCCTGGCAGGCGCAGCAGGGGCACAGGCTCACCCGCCTGGCTTCCCCTCCCACCCTGCCTTCTTCGCTTCTCCACCCTCCTTGACTTGGTAACCCTGCACTCTGTGTATTGAGCTTCCTGAGGCTCTGGAAAACCCCGCCCACTTCCTGCCTTCTGGAAGATCTCCCAGGACTTCTCAGCCTCTTATGGGGAGCTGCCAGAAACCAGGAAATGCTGGAGGGAGAAAGTGAAAATCTCCGGAGCCTTCGGGCGCGGCCCCTCCAATGCAGTTCTGTCAATGGCTCTCGGCTGTCAGTGAACCCGCGTATTTTTCGTAAAGTTTCTAGCTTTCCTAGTCTCTCCCAGCGGCAGGCTTTTTTTCTTTTCTTTTTCTTTTTTCTTTTTCTTTCTTTCTTTTTTTTTTTTTTTTTTTTTTTGACAGGCAGAGTGGACAGTGAGAGAGAGAGACAGAGAGAAAGGTCTTCCTTTTCCATTGGTTCACCCTCCAAGTGGCTGCTGCGGCCGGCGCACTGCGCTGATCTGAAGGCAGGAGCCAGGTGCTTCTCCTGGTCTCCCATGGGGTGCAGGGCCCAAGCACTTGGGCCATCCTCCACTGCACTCCCGGGCCACAGCAGAGAGCTGGCCTGGAAGAGGGGCAACTGGGACTAGAACCCTGGGGTGCTGGTGCTGCAGGCGGAGGATTAGCCTATTGAGCCGTGGCGCCGGCCATGGCAGGCTTTTGACCTGGCAAACCGACCCCTCCCAGCACACAGAGAGTGCGCCTCTCACCTTGCATTTCCTTGTGCACTTCTTGGCTGGGTGAGAAACTCACAGGCACTCGGAAGCCTCTCCAAAGTGTGGTCGGAGGCCAAGAGCCGCTCCACACCTCCCAGGCTGCGGACTCAGAGGAAAACACGTTCCCCGCTGATAGGGGGGCAGTAATGACGGCGGACAGAGAGCTGGTCCTTTCACTGGGTCGACTATAGGGTATTGGCTTGGTCTTTAGACAGAGAAACGTGGTAACTTTATTAGGCCTGGAGAAAATTTTTTTAAGAGATTGATTTTATTTATTTGAAAGACAGAGTTATAGAGAGAGGTAGAGAGAGAGAGAGAGAGAGGTAGAGAGAGAGAGAGAGTCAAGTCTTCCATCCACTGGTTCTCTCCCCAAGTGACTGCAATGGCCAGAGCTGTGCTGATCCGAAGCCAGGAGCCAGGAGCTTCTTCCGGGTCTCCCACGTGGGTGCAGGGGTCCATCTTCCACTGCTTTCCCAGGCCATAGCAGAGAGCTGGATCAGAAGTGGAGCAGCCAGGAGTCTAACCGGCTCCCATATGGGATGCCGGCACTGCAGGCAGGGGCTTTAACCTCCTGCGCCATAGCGCTGGCCCCAGGAATATTTCTAAAATTAATATTGTCAAGAGCTGTCTGATTGGCACCTAGCTTGGCCTTTACGTCCCAGGATATTAGAGAAGAGCACAAGAGAAAGCGACAGTGATTACAGTTTGCAGAAAACAATCAACACTTCTGGGACTGGGAAAAGGCCACTTGTCAAGGATTGGCTTCCTGTACAAACAATCGACTGTATTGTCGTGTCGATGTGACACGCAGGGGGCGCCCGTGAGGCTCAGGCTGCCCATGCAGGGGTCGCAGTCCCAAACCGTAGTTTCCTGTGGAAGTCTGCTCAGCCTGCGTTTTGGGGAGTAGCGTGCATGTGCACTTGTTTGCGTTCGCCTCCTAAACATTTGCAAGCGGTGTGTTCTGATTTCCCCCGCGGCAGAAGCGCCCTGGTGCCCAGGCGTGGGGGTCTTGGGCAGCAGGGACAGGCGCTTCCTGCAGAAGCTCCCGTGGCCCACAGCGTCTCTTACACGTGTTCTCGCCTCTGTTCTATAATGTGAAGATGGGCATGGGCAATCTATTTTTTAAAACGAGCATGTGTTCTCATCAAACTAAATATAGAAATGAACAAGTGTTGAGCCACACTTCCTGAGTGCTGCCTGCAGGGCAGGGAGAAGGCCATGCGGCCTCCTGGTTGGCTTTTCCCCCTAAACCCCTCTCTCTCATCTCCGGGAAACTCCACAATGAGCCAGCCTGGGCCCCACGGCAGAACTCCACAGCCCAAGTGGCTCCAGCAACAGACACTTGGTTCTCATAGCCCTGCAGGCCGGGAAGCCAAGGTGACGGCACAGGCAGGTGCCCAGGCGCAGGGCCGGGCGAGGTCTCTCTTCCTGCCGCAGATGGCGTCCCCAGGCTGCATCCCACGAGGCCTCTCCTGGGTGCCCCTGTGTGGGAAAGGAGGGGCTCTGGGCATCTGCCTCTGTTCAGGGGGGCATCAGTCAGCTGATCACCCCCCACCCCCGTAAACTTAGCTTCAGTTATGCCCCGAGAGGTGAGGCACGTTTGCTTCCCAGCTGGGAGAGACCACAATGCACAGATCACAGAGAAAACTCAGAGGCTGTCAAGGACACTGTGTCCCTGAAGTCTTCATTAATCCGTGGGTGGGCTTTTAATTCATATAAAACAGAACCCAAATTGGCTTTCGACTTTTGACTTACGTAAGCTGTAGCCAGCTGCAGGCACGGGTGGATCCAGGTATCAAATATATTCAGACTATCTCTTGCTTCATGGTTTAATTCCATCAAGGTTGAGTGACCACACAACACACAGGAGTGGGGGGAGGGAAGGAGATTCGCCGACACCCACATCACCAACCACACTTCCCGGGACGCCTCCCAGGGTAGCAGAGGAAAGTGGCCATGACCTTGAGTTTCTATCACCTCTAAAATGATGCCTGATTATTACTGCTGCAATACAGAAAAAAGCAAGAGACACGGAGCCCCTCTGGGGACAGAATGACCCTTCTGGGCTGCCGTAGCTGGTGGATGATGTCTCAGTTTCCTGAGTCCAGAGGTTGGGGCACTTGCGATTCTTCCTAAGAATGACCATGGCTCTCGGGTTTCACTGGGAGGAGATCAAAGCATTTTTTTTCTCTCTCAGGGTTTTCTCAAAAAATCAAACAGAAGGAAACAATCTATGAAGGGGGAATTCCAAACTCATCGCTTCCGCGGGAAATCCCCCAAGCAGAAGTGGCATGAACTGTGGGTTGTGCACCACACCTCACCTGCGTGCCTTCCCTGCAGAGCTGCCGGGCCCTGCAGAGACTTCCCTGTGCCGTGCTGGGGGCAGCTCTTCCAGTGCGTGTGTCCGCGATGACGGTGAGGGTGCAAAGACGAGGAAAAAGTCAGCCCATTCGCCGAGCACGACGTCCATTGTATTTAAGCGCTCAGATCCGATCTCCAGCCCTGCTCGATCCAGCAGCCATTGCTCTATGGAGCTGAAATGTTTCACATCTCTGGAATTCAGAGTATTGTTCACAGCCCAGGCGTTCTTGTCGGCTGTGACCCAGGGTGATTGTGGGTCTCGTCACTGGGTTCGTGCGTGCCAGCCTTTGAGAGGGCCCCTTGCTGGTATTGAGGCCGTTTGCCCCTCAGGATGAGAACAAAAACCATTGGACAAAAATGTGGGATAATTAGAAATATAACCTGACCGCAAAAGAGAGCATTTCCTTTGCCTGCAGTCCTCGGTCTAGTTCAAGGGCGCCTCGGTCACGGGCAAGGACTGCTGCTTTTGTGGGTGGTCTTAGACGTACGTTTCGGGGAAGTCCTTCAGAGAGCTGGACGAGGGGCGTTCCGTGAAAGACCTGCAGGCTGTTGGTGTCATCTCAGCAGGTGCAAGGTGAGTCTTAGCCCACAGGCAGGGGAGCTCGGAGGATCCAGCTATGAGTCACCTGGGGGTTGGAACCCGAGTCCTAACTCAGCAGACCACAGACGCAGACGGACGCTGTCAATGAACCCGTCTCACTTTCCTGGCTGACAACAGCGGAAGACCTGGCACACTGCTGCTGAGAATTGGAATTCAGTTGTGCTCAGCAGGGTCTGGGAGAACCGCCCGCAGCTGCTCAGGCCACAGGTGACCACTGGACCGTGAGGTGCTGACACATATGGGAGCCAGGGACAGAGCGTTTGTTGTTACATAAGAAACAGTGGTGCCATCCCTGAAGGCAGAAGGGTTGTCACGGCCATGATTCCACTCAGAAGAGCCGGGCTAGGAGCAGCTCCCCAGGGCAGGGACACTCAGAACAGCCTGACGGAGCAGTCTAGGCGGCGTCTCGACAGGTGCACCGGCGGCTGCAATGGCACCTGACCCAGCACAGCCTTCTGGAGTCGTGTTGGTGCGTGCTGCACGGCGGCAGAGCAGGCTTCTTGCTCTCTGCCCTGAGTCTCTGGGCTCCTTCTCAGCCCATGTTGCATCCTACGCCTCTGTAGCCACAGCAAGGGGGAAGCAGAAGCCGCAAGTGGGGACAGTGTGTCCCCAGAATGTAAATCTAGATCGTGACCAGGAAAGGACATCCCCGACCCTGGGTCGCTGGAGTGAGGGTGGGCGTGTGGGAGTGCGTGCACGCTGGGATGGGTGGGTAGAAGGAGAATGTGGGGACAAGGCATCATCTGCACAAAAGGAACAAACCAGGGACAGACTCCCCATGACTGAGCTTTGACTTTCTAACTAAGCTGCAAACCCCAGAATGCTAGCGATTGATTGCCTTTCCTCTTAAACGTGGAGACAACAAATACACACAGATCTGGGAGCGCTGTGGACGCACTGTGGTCTCCACGGAGTGCACCTGCACCTGCCTGCCATCCAGGGATGCCCGGGCTCGGGCTGCACCTGCCGGTCACCGCATCTCCACGCCAGTGTGAACACAGCCCACGTGGATGCTGGGCTGTGGCCAGCTCGTCTAGTACCCGGTGCTTAGTCTGTAGCCTTGTGTCCAGGCTCAGCGACATCTGCTTCCCTCACAGGGCTGCTTCGGGATTAGTTTAGCTGTGGGAAGTGGGCTGAGAGCTTCGGAAGTATCCGTGGGGGCTCAACAATTTTTGTCTGATGGAAGAACTGCACCGGAAAATATACCTTTCTGGGCATAACCCCATGCTTTTACCATGCACTGCACCTTAAAAGCATTTTATCTGTAGGAAAGATGATATCCTACCATTTTAATCACCGATTAAAAGAGAAAAATAAAAACCT